AGAGTGATTGGGTGAATGAGGGAGCCTGGGGCAGCAGGACCCAAGCAGTCAGTTACAAGGGCTGGGTCTCCTTCAATACCTTGATTGTCATCTGCCTGCCTCTTTGTAGGGGCCCATTGGAGACTTGGGAGTGCAATGACCTTGGGTTCTGGGACCTCCAGTCCTGATGGCTGTTGGGAAACCATGGGCCTCAGTGGTCTTGGTCTCCTCTCCTTTGTCTCATCAACTTTCAGGGGCCACTCTAAAACTTGGAGGGATGGGGGATATACATGCTGAGATCTAGGCTTCTCTCCTCTTTATCTCCTGGGCCGAACTGCAGAAGTGCAGACTCACATGGACACCTTGCACACAGAGCCTGAGCCCATCAGACAGAACATTACGGAGAAACAGACAATTCATTAGTAAATTCATAGGATGGTTATAAGAATAAATAAGAATCAGAATCGTGGAACTGACAGGCCCTTTAGAGTCATCTTTTAATCAAATGCCCAAAATGTTACCTTATTTTTCAATACTCATCTTTTTGAGGTCTGGTATCAAAAGTAAAATTTTAAATATGAAGAAACAGAGAGCCGGAAAGTTGAAATGACTCTTCCAAAGTCATAAAGGTGATATGCTAGGCTGGAACTCCTGTCTCCGGCCTCCTGGACTCAGAAAAGAAAAACAGAAAACCTTCCTGTTGAGTCAATTCCAACTTATGATGACCCCATGTGTTACAGAATAGAGCTACCCCACAGGGTTTTTTTTGACAGCTAACCAGAAGGCTGCAGTTCAAACCCACCAGTCACTCCTCAGAAGGAAGACTTAGCAGTCTACTTCTGTAGAGATACAACCTCGGAAACACAAGGAGGGGTCGCTGGGAAATGGAACCGACTCAGTGGCAGTAGATTGGTTTGGGGTTGGTAATCTTCATGAAGAGATCCCTGAGTGGCACAGTTTGCTCTTGGCTATTAACCAAAGGGTTGGCAGTTTGAATCCACCCAGCATCACAGTGGCAGAAGGTCTTTGTGATCTGCTCCCATGGAGCATGGTTTACTCTGAAGCACGTCGGGGGACTGTGAGTCAGAACCAACTTGATGGCAATCTTTACAAAAGCAGGTCACCAGGCCTTTCTTCCAGGGTGCCACTCAGTGGGCTTGAACAGTCAACCTTCAGTTAGTAGTTGACTGCAAAGAGTTTGTGCCACTCAGGGACCTCCTAGGCTCAGAGAGGGAGACAGAGTCTGAAGGCACTGCCTGGAGGTGTTCCCTTATGGATGGACTCACCTTCCCAAGTGGGCCAGTGAAGGGTCCATGTTTAAGGTAAGATTGATGGTGACTCTAAGCTTTCAAGGCTACATGGGTTAAAGCCTTGACTAGGTCCTCCAGTTCTTGCCTTAAAGATCCCTCAGGAAGAAGCACTTATCCACAAAAAGCACTGTTCTAGGTACCTTACAGAGTGATAGAGACAGACATCATAGTTGGCCTTAGGGCATTTCCCTTATCAGGGGGTCTAATATAGCCAACAAGGAGCTCTGGCAGTGGAGTGGTTAAAGGCATTTGGCTGCTAACCAAAAGTTCAGTGGTTCAAACCCACCAGCTGCTCCACAGAAGAAAGATGAGGTGGCCTGCTTCTGTAAAGATTTACTTACAGCTTTGGAAACCCAATAGGGGTTGCTATGAGTCACAATCAGCTCGATGACAGTGAATTTGATTTGGTTTTAATATAACCAGCACAGTCTCAGAGGAGCATGGGCAAATGGACAGATGAGAAGCAACATCCAGATACCAGCACAGATGAACTAATAGCATCATATAGACCCTAAGAATAACCCAACCAGAAAAGCAACTTGAAGATGTGGTGGGGAAGTCTCTGCCCTCCTGTAAAGCCCACCTCCTCTATGTAGTCTTTCTACTGTCACTGTGGTTATCCCTCTTGGCCTTCACCCTGCACAAAACATAACATCTCTCCGTATCACTCAGTAATGCCCCTGGCATGTATATAACAGAAATCTTGTTACTTATTATGGATCTGTTTTGATTATTTTGTCTGTCCTTTAAAATTCCATCCATATTCATCTTGTGCATCTTGGGCTGGGCGCCCAGAGCCCAGAGTCCAGCATCAACCAAGTTATGTAGTAGCTGCTACTAAGGCAGTGGTTGGGAAGGCCAATGCCAAAAAGCTTAGGTCCCTGCCAAAAGGCTTCTGGGAGGTGGGATCTCAAGGATTTGAAAAAAGAAAGACAGGGTGGTAGTCTGAAGGTGGGTTCTGGCCCAGGGGTGGCAGTTTGGAGATTTAGGGGGGATAAGCAGAGCAGCACACAAGACAGAGAGGAAGAGACAGGATGGGATGAAATGTGAGAAGGGGAAGTGAGCTGCTCTGAAGCACCTGGTTTGGGACCCCTGAGCAGAGGGGAAGGGGAAAGGGGACAACCAAGGGGACAACAAGAGGTCACTGATGGGTCTGAAGGGGGTGCACCATGGTCGTGAGATCTGTGGGTGTGGCATAGAAGGTGGTGTTCTAAATGACACTAGTAATAGGCCTTACGTCAATGAGGGACTCCCAGGAGCAGAGCTGGGAGGACCCACGTGCCACTCAGGTCCACGTGCCTGGTATTTCTGCCAGCACAACTCAGTCTCTGTGGGGCTTGTCCTTAACTACCGGCGAGCCAGCTGTTCCTTGGGTGTCAGATAAAGGCTTTGTAGGAGGAAGTGGGGCAATTACAGGAGCTGAAAAGAGGGAACATTTTCTACAACTATGGGGAGAACGAGAGGTTGGGCAGGTCAGCTTAGGTTGTGAGAGAATAAAGATCAGATCTAGGGGGGTAGGAGAGACCCTGTTGAGAAAGTACACATTAGGCGCTGAGTCAGGGAGAGGGTAGGAGTGTACAGTGGTAAAGGTATGGGGAATCAAGACAAAGGCAGACCACAGGCCTTCAGGAGGGGGCAGGGAGGTGGGCTGAGGACAGCTAAGAAAAGCTATGCCTCTGGGGCTAGAGCTGCAGCCTATAGGGATTCTGGAACAGTCTGTCTAAATAAAATACACACGTGTCTGGGCCAACCCTGCCACAGTTGCTCCTTGGAGCCTGTTGGTGGTCCGAGGAGCCTGGAAGTGACTCCAGGGGCGAGTCTCATGTCTGTGCTGAATCTGTAGGGACATAGTTCTCTCATCATCAAACCCATGCCCACCCCCAAGGCCTACCATTAAGATGCCAGAAGTTCCTTGCTCCAGGGAAGCCTCACAGAGAACAGGCCGCAAAGATTGTGGACATGGTCCTCCAAATCAGATAGAACAGGCCTAGAACTGGCTGGGCTGAGGACCTGCAGGTAAGGCTGGGGGAGCCCAAAATCCAGTGCAAAAGCCTTGCTCAGAAGGGAAGAGATAGACCCAGAGTGTGAAGTGAGCAGGGTTCAGCTTAACTGCTTGCAGCTGGGAGTGAGGACACCTAGGGCCTGAGCAGCAGAAAGCTTTAAGGATGAAAATCATCTCAACCTGAACCCAGGGCTGCCTTGCAGATTCAGCCAAGCCTCTTGGGCCTCTCTCTGCAATGGAGGCACTATCTGACTCCGAGAAGACCAACCGATTGCATTCACAGTGTTTCTTTCCCCAGGGACCAACCATGCATCACCAACCCAAGTGTGGGATCAGGGTGACTTGGGTGGGGGTGGGAAGGGAGAGCTCTAGAGGAGCTGCGTCGTGGCCACAGCCTAGCGCCTCGCCTGCCGGTTCAGCTGCAGAGAATCAAGCCAGCACACCGCGGCCTCAGATGAATCTGAGGGTCTTGTTGCCTCCAGAGCGAGGGCCCCATGGGTGCAGGATGTGACCTGTAGGAAGGTCCCCGTCCTGCCAGCACCCTCTCCCGGACGGAGCAAGCATGTGCCGGCTGCAGCCCTCTACAGCGGCTTGGTGGGGAAGGGGAGGCAGACAGGAAAGGCCCGGCGGCCACCTTGGAGGAGCCAGTGCAGCGCGATTCAGCTGGACCCCCTCTCACACACACGCATAGGGGGAGGGGGTTCCCATGGCGTCTGGGTTACTGCGACCCAGGGCACTAGGACCGTTAGCGGGGAGCAGCCACCCCCTCCCCAGAGCTGACTTGAGGGGAGCGCCCCTCGAACGACAGGCACCTCGCCCCCTTTCCCCTTCCCGGGTGGAGGAAGAGGACCCGAGACCGAGGGAGGGGGATAGGGCGGGACCTGAGATGAGCATGCGAGACTCGATTGGTCAGAGGAGCTGCCGGTCACGAGGGCAGCTCGCGCGCGGATTGGCTGCGTG